TTCAAACTATGACCGCAGCTACAGCGAGGGGCTGGAGAAGGGGCTGCCCAGCCCCATCCTCTACGTGGCAGAGAAGTTCTCCTCGCAGAGCCCCTGCGCCGTGCACAGGCAGTACCGCATCTCCGGCCACTACGCCTCGGCCACGCTCTGGTGAGCCTTCCTCTGCTCGTGCAGGCACAGGAGATGCAGGGATGTAGGAAGGGCTCTGAAGCTTTTTCCCTAGGCCTCTGAGATGGATGGGATTGCATCCTACTAGTAGGAATGCTGTGTGCATGGAGAGGCCCCTGCAAGGCCTGCAGTCAAACTGGTTGCCCTGTAGGCACTTTAGAGTGAGCAGAGAGGAGGTCCTGGTTCTCTCTGCTGGCCAAATCCACCAGGGCTTGGCACAGGAGAGAGGGACATGGTGCAGGTCCTTGCTGTGATGTGGTAGTTATGGCAGAGGTCCATGGATGGAGTTAGTGGCCCAGAGAGGGCCACAGACACATGAAGAACTCTTCCAACTGCTCACTGCTCACTTGGGATGAGGGAAAGCTGGCCCACAGCTGTCAGGATGTGGTCCCTTCCACCATGGCTTGTGGAGGTCAAGGGCCATTGCAGTGCTGTTCTCCCTGCTCTGTGTTTGACAGCAGGGATGCAGAAGTTAAGAAAGTGGCCTGGTGATGCTATGGAGCAAAAGCTCCTGGCCCATAACTGAGGACTTCCCCTGTCACCCAGCTCCTCAGCAAAATGCAGAGCTGCTGCCAATGACTTTTGCCTGTTTCTGCATTTATCTCAGTCCTGTGTGTGGCTCTCTGGCCCCATGTGTGGAAGAGCAGGGAGCTGAGATGGTTCAGATACACCAAATGGGCTACCACGGCCTCCTTCAGGCTGGTGCTGTCTGTGGGCTGAGCAATGCAAAGAGAAAATACATGTTTCTGCCTTCTGGGTGTAGCAGTGTGAGCTCTGCACATCTGTTGGCTCAGCCTGGGGATTAGGGATCACTTCTGCCTGCCTACAGAGCTTCTCCACCTTGCACAATGCACCCTGGAGCCCAGATTCTCTTCCCACATGGAAATCCTCACATAGATCACCTTAGTCCGTGGCACTCACACGACTCATCTGTTGGTCTCCTCTTGTCTCCAGGGTGGCCTTTTGCACGTGGATCATCTCCAACATTCTCTTCTCCATGCCTGCCCTTGTCTATGGAGGCTACATGCTCCTGGTCACAGGGGCCTTCATGACCTTCTCACTGCTCTCATTCTCCACTGTGAGGAACTCCCCAATGTGCCTGATCCAGATTGGGGCTGCAACCCTGCATGTAGCCTATGGGGGATCCTTCTGGCTCACCCTAGTGGTTGGTAAGGACACCACGGTGCCCCAGGGTGCACCACCTTGTCCCTCTGGGTGTGAAAGAGTCCCGGTGTTTTCATCCCAGGTGGAAAGTGCAGTCCCCTGGAGCCCCAGCCTGTGCCTTGGCAAAGCAGATCCTGGCCAGAGGTGTGGACAGGAGTGGCAAAAGAGGGAGCACCCATCTCAAGGGCAGTGAAGGGACTTTTAGTTCCTGAGATGCAAAGAGATGGGGATCACTTGCCTGGGTTTTAAGATACTCAGTGCAGCTGAAGCCCCCTCGTACAGTGGAAGGCCATCTTCCATAAGCAAAGGCACTGTCCCCTGGCAGGGGACCCTCAGAGGAGGGATGTGGGCTGGGAACTGTGCTGGTGTGCACAGGAACCCTCCCAGAGAGCACGTTTGTTTCCAGGCTTGCTCTGTTTTGTGGCTGGGATCACCGTTGTGGCACTGCACCACCTCAACTTGGACTTACTGAAAACCTTCTTCGATCTCCGCGAGGACAAAGCTGAGGAGCACCAGGAAATGGCTGAAGTGTATGTCAACTCCTATTTTGTGAACAAGGCACTGGCTCCTCCTCAGCCCTCCGAAACCAACAACCTCTAGAAGAAAGTTTTCCCCACTCCTTCCCTGAAGGTGAGCCCGAAAGGGCAGAACACAAACCCTTCTTGATGTCCCCACAGGCGCATTACCCTGTTCAACTGCCTTTGAAGGCCGCATTCGGACAGGTCCGTGCTGGGAAGTACCTGCACAGACTACCTCCCTGACAGTGCCCTCTGGAAAAGGGCAAGCTTTGCTGGCAAGCTGTAATCAGAGCAGCTCACAGCTCTAGAGACTTGAGCTGCACTCACCTGGGGGTCTCTGTGCCAGGAGAAAATCCCTTCCTGCTCTATGCCCTGGCACAGTGTGGAGCAGAAATCTCCAATGGCTGGTTCCTACTGAAAGTGAAAATCTGAGCTGACAGGTGACATTCCTCATGGGGAGCACCCACAACACCCACGACTCCAGGGATTAAATTTGCTCCTTTCTTCCCCAAGCACTGACATTTAGTGTAGAACTTGAGGTGAAGCCAGGAAAACCAGGCCCAGATCCAGGCTCCTCAGGCTGGATGTTGCAGGAGCTGGAATAAAAAAATCTGCTCCAGTAATAATGACTGAGTAAATGTACAATGGAGTTTTCTGGGGAAAATGTGATGGTGGGATTATTTTCACTTTCAGATTTGGGCTTTAATAGACAAGACTTGTAGTCAGGTGTGGGCCAAAAAGATGCCTAAGGAAAGGAGGGAGAGGGAAGAATGAAGTTACCCCTGTCCACCTGGAGCATACCTGGGCTGTCTGGGCAGCAGGACAGGGGGAGATTCTGCCCCTCTGCCTCGCTCAGGTGAGACCCCACCTGCAGAGCTGCCTCCAGCTCTGGAGCCCAACATCAGAAGAACATGGAGCTGCTGGAGCCAGGCCAGAGGAGGCCCTGGAGATGCTCGGAGGGTTGTTAAGACCCTTGCTGTTAAGTTACATATTTCTGTCACACGATATTTGTGTTGCACTAATGTGATTTGTTATGTACGAGAATTATTTTCAATAAAACTTTATTAAAAACCCTCTCATTTGAAACACTGTGGGCATTTGGGGGCTGGTTTCTTAAGAGGGGTTGTGGGGCACATCTGAAGGTGACTTCTGGAGAGCCCCCAGCAGCAGCAGCCTTCCCACGGAGAGGATGCCCCAAAGGAAGGACAAGTCTCGTTTCAAGGTAAGCCACTGAGAAACCTTTGTCCTGAGGAGCAGCATGTTGTGAGGGTGTAGGAGAACCTCAAAAGGACTTTAACTACCTGAGTGGTGGGACAAAAGCCATAAGATTAAACCAACAAAACTCCCTTAGGCAAAGGAGAGTGCAGGTCCCTGTGGCTGCAGCACCCCCACAATTATGGCATATAAGGAGGATCCTTTCTTGAGAATTTCTTGCATCCAAACATGTCAGGCATGAAGGCATCGATGGGAAGATGCTACAGCCAACCACAAATTGCTGGGGCTGGTGTGGGACAGATCCCATGACTGTAAGCACAGGAGGCTGAAGGGTTTCCCATCCTTTCTACCTGGCTCTCTCCAACCTTAATCTCCTACTTTTTGGCATGATTCCTCCTCAAGAGCATCCTCACCAGAAGGAAAAGTTTGTGCTGTTGCATCAGACATACAAGGGTATGAGAGGTGAGATTTATGAGGGCTGAATTTCTATTGAATAAATTAAAGGGGTTTGTTGTGCCTTGGATCTAGTCCATCTGTAGGCTGAAGCATCTCCTGGTAGAAACCATTGTGAACATCCTGCCCTGAGGTCTCCCAAGCCTAAGGAGTTCAGCTCCAAACAGTTTTGAGTTCTCTTGGTTCTCGTTGAAGGCTCTTCCATCCGGAGTGGGATGTGTCATGGCTGAGCACCTCCTCCCCAGAGGTCCTGCCCCATGATGATCCCTCTGCAAACTCCTCTGCTGGGCTAGACATCACTCCCATCAAACCTTCCACATGCCTGGGGTCACTCCAGGAGCTAAAGTCCCTCCATATCCCCCCTGCTTGTTTGCCTGGGGATGTCCTGATACCCTATTTAGGGCATATTGATTGGACTTTATTGCCCTGAACCAACCGGCTGTAGTTGGATGCCCCATACAGGACCACTAAAGGGCTCTGCCTTTTCCTTCTCCCTTCCCTGTGGCTGCCTTCAGCCCTCAGAGGGACACCTCTATCAAAAGACAAGTGAAAGGCCAGGTCCAACTTATTTTACTGAGATACGGGGAAAATAAGTGAGCACAAAAGAGAAAAAAAAGAAGTTGTGAAATCTGCACAGGGGAAAAGGAGTGCAAACCTGCAGTGTGTTCCCTCCCTCCCTGCGTGGGCAAGGTGCCAGCAGCCAGGACTGGGTGGCTGCATCCACCTTGGGTGTGCAGAATTCCAGTGTCTCATGCCCCACGACATGAGTGTTTCCACAGCTGAGCAGCAGGAACACAGGCCTCCCAGACCAGAGGTGCTGCTCCCCTGTCGCTGGTTGGTTACAGCTGATCTCTGAGGCACTGTAGCACCTCTGTTCCCACCTTCTCCTCTCCCTCCCTCCCACCTGATCTGAGACCTTCAGCATCCTGCTAAGTCATGGTCCTCCTTGCCATCCTGCCCTTCACCCCAAGAGGAGACGCTGGATACAAGGCACCCTGGTGAGCACAGTTCCACCTGTACTTCCTGACCGCTGACGGGGAGAGCATCCCTGGGCAGATGGGATTTCTTGGAGGTCTTCAGGGTGGAGGTACTGTTGCAGGGGCTCTACTTCTCCTTTGGTTCATATCAGTGAGTCTGCAGTTACTTGGTTTCTCCCCAGTTTGTTCTGGTTTGATCTCTGTACCCTGGGGAGGACTCAGGCTTTGTTGGGATGGACTAAGGGGAAGGGCAGTAGCCCAGTGCCTGGAACTGGACAGCCAAGGTTGGGGCATGGGTTCTCCTTACGACAAAATTTCTTCCAGCTGCTGCTGAGTAAAACAACAGGGGAAAAAAAAAGAAAAGGACAAACTCTTTTATTTGAGACATCTTTCCAGGTTTGGATGTTCTTATCACACGGCACTTGTCTCTTCCCACCTGGGCTCCTGCTGGATTTGGTGAATTCAGGAGCAGTGTCCTCAGGCCTTGCCCTGCCTCCCCCGTGGTTCACAGCTGGGTGGCTGTCACCTCGGAGAGCTCGGCCAGTGGGACCATCCACACGTCCTGCACGGAGCAGCTGGGCTCGGCCAGCAGGCAGGGCTTGTCCCACACCTCCTCTGCTCCCTTTTTCTTGTCCAGGTTAAAGATGAGCTTCAGCTTCTCCGGCTCCATGGAGTTCAGGATGATGACGCCCAAACCCAGCAGCAGGCACAGCAGCCCTGCCATGCACAGCACAGGGACACATTAACACCTCCTCCCAATGTGTCCCAGCTCCATCCAGATCCAGACGGAGGATGGCAACATGTGGCATCACCTGGTAGGTCTAGGGAAGGTGTTATTTCCCTTTCCACATCTGGATTCTGACATCAGACTGGGCTCTCCCGTAATAAAAGGGGGGTCAGTGAATTGGGGCAGAGAGTTAGGGCTGGAGCTGGGGAAAAGCTGGAGGAGCTGGGCTTGTTTAGCCTGAAAAAGAGGAGTGTCCAGGGGAACTTAGTTGCCATCTGTCCTTGGAGGTGTTGTAACATGGGAAATTCTGGTTTGATGAAAGGAAATAATTGCTCCCCATGAGTGGGACTGCTGTGGGGCAGGTTCTGAAAGCAGAGGGAATCTCTGTCTGTGGGGACATCCACCAACAGATTGAATAAGGCTGGTGTGGCTTTGAGGTTATCCCTGTTGTGGGAGAGGGACCCCTGAGGGTCCTTCCAGACCAGGTCTTTCCCTGACTCTACAATTCCTGACTGTCACGCTCTCCTCTGGGTGCACCTCCAACAGATAACTTCAGCCATTCATATCTCTTGACTGCTCATCTCTTTTCCCCCCAGCCTTGGAGGAAAAAAATCTTTTATGCCCTTAAAAAAAGAAAAAAGTAATTTTCCGTGACCAGACATGGAGACATAAGGGGTGAAGTCCTGTTGAAACATCACTGCAGGGATGGAGAAGAAAAGCCCCTGGAGCAAGTTGAGCACTCACCTGTCACTAATGTCAGCCAGAAGGATTCGCCATAGTCTGTTTTCAAGGAAACTGGGCCAAACTGGATGGGGCACTTGGGGGTGTTCCTCGCAGTGAAGAAGAAGAGCAGTGAGAAGAGGATCAGTGCAGCAGTGAGCAAAAGCATGTAACCACCGTGGAGCAGGATGGACATGGAGAATAGCAAGATGGAAATGAGCCACGTGCAGAAAGCCAACCTGTGAAAGGACCATAAAACCAAGTAGGAAGCATCCTGGGATGAATGTTTGGAGAATCCACTCAGGGCCTCCTCTCCACTTCCCAAGGGAGGGACACAGCATCGGGCAGCCTGCTCTAGCTGGCCTTCTTCAGCAGGTGGGCTGGACAGGCTGATCAGGGGACACCCCTTACAACCCAAACAATTCTGTAACTACATGAGTGGTGGAGTTGTGGGACAGGTCCAGCAGTGGTGGAGAGGGATCTCTACACCTGGGAACATTCAGTGTTGAACTTCGCAAAGCCCCAAGCACCTTGATATGGCTTTGACATCAGCTCTGCTCTGGGTGTGGGACTGGAGTAGAAATCTCTGGACATCCCTCAAAATTAACTTTTTTTTTCGATTCTTGTGATCATCCACAACTGGCCACCCCCAGGCAGTTCTTACCTGTTCAGAGGGACAATGGCACCAAGGGACACCTTTGTCTGGAGAACTGCACCTTAAGCCATGCCCACAGCTGATTCAGCACCTGGAGTGAACCCAGCTGCCAGCCCTGCCCTGTGTGTGAGGTTTGGGTTTAGCCCACTAGGGAACTGAGCCTAACAGCTCAGTTTTTCTTATTCCAAGAATAATAATGAAAAACAAATTTTCATCAGCATTCCTTCCTTGAAATACTCCTCCTCAATAACAGGAATGTTTGGGCAGGGATATTTATTCTTCCTGAAAATAAAACAGAAGATGTAGACGGGGACCTGGAGCCCTTCCCCATAGGGAGAATTGCAAGGCTCACTCTTTCCTCACTCTTTCCCACCACCTCTGAGGCACATGGGGGTGCTTCGAGACTCCACAATCACAAAACACACAAGGGCTCTCAGCTTTGCACCACAGGACAGCCTCTGAGCACCCTCATGATGGTCCCTCCTGCTTCCCACAGGCAGGTCTCATGCCCCCTTGGGCATGCAAGAGGAAACCCTTCACAGCTGGTCTTACTGGGGCTCCTTATCTTAGTCCTTGGGAGAGGATCCTGAACTATAAGCCTCACAGCTGCATCTGTTTTCCCTTAAATGAAGAATAATTTTTCTCTGACCATAATTTTGTACATCAGGACAGAGGACACAGAAAAGGACTCCAGAGAGATGGGTAAAAGCTGTCCCTCTGCTCTGGAGCCAGGCTGGGAGAGATGGGGGTATTCAGCTGGAGAAGACAAGGCTCCAGGGAGACCTTAGAATCCCTTCCAGTGTCTAAAGGGGCTCCAAGAGAGCTGGAGAGGGAATTTGGACAAGGGCCTGGAGGGACAGGCCAAGGGGGAATGGCTTCCCACTGTCAGAGGGCAGGGTTAGATGGGATACTGGGAGGCAATTGTTGGATGTGAGGGTGGTGAAGCCCTGGCAGAGATTGTCCAGAGAAGCTGTGGCTTTCCTGTCCATGGAAGTGTTGAAAGCCAGGTTGGATGAGGCTTGGAGCAACCTGGGATAGTGGAAGGTGTCCCTGTCCATGGCAGGAGGTGGAATGAGATGAGCTCTAAGATCCCTTCCAGCCCAACATTTCTGTGATTCTATGATTCTATTGTTCTATGATTCCATGACAGGCCAGGAAGCATGAGCATCCCCGATCCTGCAGAAAGCCAAGGCTTTGGCATGGCCTTACAGGGAAGAGGGTGGCTCCATCAGATTCCCTCTGCTCTGCCTGATTCTTTCCAGAGCAGAGACAGGGCTCACTTCTCTGTAACTCACCAGAGCGTGGCCGAGGCGTAGTGGCCGGAGATGCGGTACTGCCTGTGCACGGCGCAGGGGCTCTGCGAGGAGAACTTCTCTGCCACGTAGAGGATGGGGCTGGGCAGCCCCTTCTCCAGCCCCTCGCTGTAGCTGCGGTCATAGTTTGAACTGAAGCTCCAGGGAAAGTACTCGTTGTAGTTGATGGTCTCATTGATCTGCTTCACTGGGTTTCCTGCCAGATGAGGAAGACTAAGAAGCCTTGGAGGCAGCTCCAAGACTTGCCAGTGTGGGAGCTGCAGGGCCCACAGCCCCAGTATCTACGTGTATGGCTGCCAAACTTGCCCCCAGGCCCCTCCTGCTGTGATGTGCACTCACCCTTGAGTGTGATATTCACCCCCTCCAGGCCGATGTGCAGCCCAATGTCCACATTCACCACGGCACGGCTGAAGGACTTGTAGGAGGTGTTTGCCTGCACCCAGCCAGTCTCCCAGTCCCTGGTGAACTGTATGGCTGTGAAGAATTCAGAGTTAGTTATGGCCTGGCAGCAAGACATCTAGTGCTGGAAGCACCTGCCTGGTCACCATGGCCTGGGCATCACCTGCCTCATCCCAAGGGCAAGGACTGGGTTGTGAGCCACAAGGAGGAAAGTCCTGTATGTCCTTCCCCAGTATCAGCCCTGACTCATATTGGGTTGGTTTCTCCCCAGCCCCAGTGCAGTCCCTAACCCTTGAGACTGATGTGTCAGCACTGTTTGGGCACTGGTCCTCATCTAAGCACCTTCCAATTTGTCTGCCTGGAACTTGGTGGTGGGATTTTGCTGACTGCCCTGGATATGACCACCAGCCTTAAGAGAGGAGACTTGCACCTTCTCCCAGTTGCTGGAGCCAGGTCCCAGACACAAGATGGGTGTGGGTCTTCCCCATGAACTCATCCTACAGGCTGGACTTGGTGCTTGGCTGCTCTGTTCATGCTCCCTCACTTTTCTCCTCCATGCCTTGGGCATCCTTGATCTTCCCCCCCGAACCCCAGTACTCACTGAGGACCACTGCTCCCACGAAGAGTCCCGTCACCAGCCGCAGGAACCAGAAGAGTCGCTGCCAGGGGTGAGCAGAGCAAGAGGACAGATCTCAGCCAGATTTTGCCATGGGGACCTCAGCACCAAGCATGTCATTTAGAAACACCAGACGGTGAGGAACAGGCCCATCCCTCCCTTGGGGAGTCACACCATGTGTTTTGTAGGCAGGTGGCATGTGGGGGACATGTGGCTGGTGGCACCCACCACAACCCTGCTGTGATGGCGGGGAGGCAGCAGGGAGATCCAGACAGAGCCACGAAGGTCAAAACAGTCCTTTGGGGAAAGCTGTGACATCCCCTTTCTGGGAAGGAGCATGGAGGCACTCCCTTAAATAGTGTTGAGCTGGAATTTCCACACTTGTGGATGTGTTGGCAGCTGGCCACAGCTGGATGCAGAAGTAGTAACCGAGCATTTGTAGTGTGTCCCTTGTGGGACAGAAGCCCCTCAGCCAGTCCTGCTGCAAAGCCAAGCACACAACAAGCACGTGGCTTGCAGTGGGGTCTGTAGGCCACACAGAGCCCAGTGAGCAGTGCTGGGACATGCCCAGTGCACACCTCTTTCTTTTATTGAGATTTCAGGGAAGGTGGAGTGAGATCTTTGAGCCTCACCCTGCTTTTCCACCCCTGTGAAATCACTTGGCCTTGCTCATAGAGAAATCAAGCCAAGCTCAAATCTAGCTGCCTCAGAAATTTGGGATGGTGGAGTGATGTCTGTAGCATGGGGTCCATGCTGGGATGGGCTGGTGCTTACCCCTCTGGCTTGCTAGAAATCCCAGAGCCTTGCCCATAAACTGTGGGCATGTTTGCTCCCCAAAGCTCTTTTCAAGGCTGGGAAGGAGGAGGAATGTTGGATACATAGTTCAGAGACCAGAGGTCTGTACTTCCCCTGCTTCTCCACTTACCCCCCTGCCTCTGATTCCTGGTAGGATGATGATGAAAGTGGCCAACATGGAGAGGAAGATGGTGATGATGACAGCCCGGGCGGTGTCAAAGGGGAAACGGGCATTGGCACCGGGGTAGAAGGGGTAGGAGCCATTCCACAGCGTCATCCTCCTGCCTGGGAGGGCTGGAAATTGACACCAGAGAGACAGTGGAGCAAAAATCACCTCCACAGTTCCACCACACCCAGCCTTCTCCACAGAACCACCTCCTGCCCCCTTACCAGTGCTCTTCTTGTGCCAGGCACAGCTGTGTGTGCATCCCCAATGCCTGGGACACTGCAGCCCCACATGGGCCATACTCAGGCATCTCCCACTGGAGCCCTCCATCTCCTCGGGGTACATCCCAGAGCAAAGCTGGATTGGAGTCACCAGGGCATCTGCTGCAATCCTCAGGTTGTCCCCAGTGTGGGACAGCAAGACATGCAAACACCACTGGGCCACTCGCTCCTCTCTTCTGCCTGTTCTCCGTCCCTGCTGTCTTCCCCATGCTCCTCCCTCCCTAGTTCAGCCCTTTATCCACAGCCTGGCTCCCGTTCGCAGTTGCTGTGCTCGGGGCGCTGGTGAATCACAGCACAAACACGGGTTGCGCCTCATCGAGCTGCTCCTCGCTGAGCCCCGACGGACTTAACTCCTCACCGTCCAAGGAAACAGGAATAACGCGGAGGGGACAGAGAAACTGCCTGTCCCTGGCAGCAGGGTGCCTGTCCCAGGAGCCAGCTGGAGGGAACGGTGGGCAGAGGGATGCTGCTTGGGAAGCCAGATGTTTTTGCCACGGCACTTGACCAATTCACTTTCCCGCTAGGAAAGGGCTGCTCAGCATCCCTCGGGAATGGGGACCATCCCAGCAGTGGTTGCAGGAACACCCACACCCCTTTCCCCAAGCCGAGCCTACCTCTGCCGCGGCCGATCCCTGGGGATGGGTGCTGTGCAGAGCTCTGTTGTGCGCCAGGATATCGCCTCGGGATGCTGCCTGCCCGCCCAGTGTGGAATCACGGCTGTGTTTCTCCCAGCGTTTTTAGAGTGCCCGCCTCCAAAGGCGGCTGGATTATCCAGCCTTACCCACAGCGGATCGGCCTCCTCCGGTGCTCCTGCTGAGCCCAGGGTAGGCAAGGCTGGCAAAGTACTGGGAGAGGTTTGCCTTCTTTTCCTCGACTTTTCCTGCAGAGCAGTGAAAAGTTCAGCTGTTCCTTATGGCACAAAGACCCTGGGGCTCCCAGGCTCCTTGGGAGCCTGCTGTGAGAGAGCAGAGGGCTCAAAGCCCTCAGCTGCACTGCCCGGTGAAACATTCCAGCTGAGATCACCTGGCACAGCTTGTGGCTGCACAGCCTCCTACTTGACCCTGCTCCTGACTCCATCCACCGGGACAAGTTTCTTGGGAAGGTCCTGGTGACCTGTCAATCCCTGGGCAAGGTGACAGAATGACTGGCAAGGGGGATCATCAGAGACCCACAGGTCTAGAGGTGCTCCCAGCCTTGTTATGCAGAAGATGCTCAAGTTACTAACTTGGCCACAGTGTGGAGATTGTGGAAATTCAAGCTTTTGGGGTTTGCTCTTGTTCTGTGGCAGTTTGGTTGGCTGCAGCAGGTTGCATTGGTGCCAAGAAGGACCAGTGTGGCAGAAACACTTTCCTGATCCACGTTTGGGGACTTCTCTCCAGAACTGGCACAGTTACAGCCATCCCCTGGGTATTTCTTTCTGCATCCCTGTGGATGGGCTGGCTGGGTGCCCTGGAGAGCTGAGCTTCTGACTCCCTTTGCAGAGGAATATAAAAATGAGTTTTCACTCATGTCCAGCAGTAAATAAAGGCATTTTTGGGCAAAGACTTTGACATTTCCCCTCAAGTGCCAAACTGGTGCTACTCAGTCTGAACACTGAATCCCACCACAGAGGTGGTTTAAAAAAAGTAAAGGGTGGCAAGGGTGCCATGGCTGAGGAATGTGTGGGCAGAGATGTGCTGTGGGGCTGTCTGCTGGGAATGTGGCACCAGCTCTGACTCCGAGAGCCTCTGCAGAGCAGAAGGAGACGTGGACTTCACCACAAAAAATGCGGATCCTCGGGGGTGTTCTCACAAACACACAGGCTTTGGACTGCTTGGAAAGGTGGAAATATCTCTCCCTCCAGCATGGGAGAGGGATAACTGAGGCAGTGACTGGTAATTAGCAGGCTGAGATTAATCTAGATGTGGAAGATGCAACCACGTGAGGTGGTATGTGGGATGAGTGCTTAGATGATCCATCCCTCACTGAACTCCCTGGAGGTGGAAGAGGCAGCAGTGGGATGACCCCTGCACTGGCTTTGTTAAACCAATGTGTGGAGTTTGCCTGGGGAAAAGATCGAGGTGCAGTGGGTTTTGGGCTGTTCAGATGAGCATCACAAATGTCTTTTGGGGAGATGCCCTCTTGCCAAAGATGAAAGGGAGGGGGAGGGAGTTCCCTTCCTTCTCCAAAGGAGGTGCCCAGCAACACAGGGTTTGTGTGCAAGGACACTGGGAAACTCACAGGGCTGCTCTGGTTCCCTCATCTGTCCCCAGCAGTGATGGAAGTGGGGTGGGATGGTGGCACCCCTTCCCTGGGGGGCTGATGGGGCCATGGGCTGGCAAATGTGGAAAAGTTGCTGGATTTACCCCTCACCCATCTGCATCTAAGAGAAGCTCCTACAGAAAGCTTGAGGCCATTATTATAACTGGGGTTTGGGGGGTTTCCCCCTTTTTTAAAATCTTCTGGGTATTTCTGCAGGTGGTAAAGCTTCATCCCAGTTTCCAGGGAACAGGTCTGGGTGCTGCTCACCAGCAGCTCACAGCCTCCTGCCCAGGGCGGTACTCCCACCTCAGCACCCTGCCCTCTTCCCTGGGCAGCCTCTGCTTCACACCCTTGGGAGTGATGGATCCCCTGATTAGGGATGAGTCACCTGATCCAGGTCACCTGCGGGAGGTGGGGGCGAGGGGAGCAGCACCCAGCACCTCTTGCACAAGCAGCCGAAAAGTGTTGGATCAGCCACCTCTGTCAGTGCTGGGAATTGAGGTGGGGAAGGCGTGGGGACATGCCTGGGCAGGGAGGTGATTTTTGGATTTGAGCAGGAAGATTTCTGCCTGACCCATTGGAGCCAGTGGGACAGATGTGGTGCTTGTGCCCAGGTCACCCTGCCCCACTGGCTGTCCCCATCACCCCTCTGTCCTGTTCCCTGACATGGGGAATGCTGCAGCAGGAGTTGAGCTGGGGCTTTGTTGTGATGGAACTCACCATGTGTCCCATCCTGATGCTTGAATCCTTGCCCAGGAATCTTTGCCAAAGCTGAATGATTCATGACGGAGCAGCTTGAAAGGAAGAACAGGAGGAAGGATGGAGTGACCCTCTCTGATTAGTTCCACCTTGGTGAGCAGAGAGGTTTATGGTGCTGTGGCTGTGCTGGTTTGGCTATGGATATGTTGGCAAGAAGGATCTGTTTTTCCAGCTCTGTAAGTTAGTTAAACATTTTGAGCAAAAAGGAGGATGTTGCTGCCCACTACACTGACCAATAGGTTTCGTATCTTATGATGGAGACAAGTCAGGGTCAACTGAAAGGGCTGCCAGGAGATGGAGGCAGAGCTCTGCAGGAGCCACATGTCATCCCAGTGGGAACTGAAACAGGAGGGGTTTCAGCTACACTTTGAGGAAATACTTGTCTAGAAATTGTGTTGAGTGTTCAGCCCACTGCCCTTTCCAAGAGCCATCAAGCAAGAGAGGAACAAGTCTCTGGACACGGCCTGGACCTTCTGAAGCATGATCCAGGAAGATCATCTTGCGTGGGGGCTGCTTGATAGTCTCTGTTCCCAGGCCCAAAAGGACTTTCAGCTCCTGCCAGGGCTGTTGTGGGTTTCCATGTGCTGTCAGAGACCCAGGGGACAGAAACCCAGCTGTCCCATTGCCTTCCCAAATATCTCTATCCTGCCCTGAGACTCCATGTCTGATCCTATGGGCTCTAAGACCTGTGCCTGCGTGGGAAAGGGGACAGCCCGACATGGGAATGGGGCTGTTCCCTCTTCCTTCCCTTGGCCCTTGCTGGGATTGCCCAGCTTGGATGAGGGGCTGCAGGTCCAGCCCCTCTCTCCTGTCCACAGACCCGAAGTGTCCCTTCCATGCTGCCCTAATCCCAACTCTGCAACAGCTGCAGGAGCAGAAGGACATGGGGAAGGAGCATGGGAGAGTCTAAGCAGGTACTCTGATGCCCTGGGAGAATGGAGGAGAAGGAGAAGACATCACCTCCCATCTTGCACCTGTGTTACGGATGTTGCCTCCCCACTAAAGAGCCAATGGGTTTGCCACCTCCCAAACTGCCTCTCCAGCCTCATCCTTGAAGGCCTCCCTCACCTGACAGAGCTCTTCTGCCCCAGCATGAGTGTCAGGAAGTGTATTAGCCTTTGGGATGCAACTCAGTAGGGATTTTACTGTCCCAGCCTGGGGAACCCTGTCTCCACAGATAACAGCCATTCCTGCCAGTTTGATGCAACTATCAGCAAGTTGAACTTCTCTGGGCTTTGCTGGGGCTTGCTAATGATGCACTGGGTGGTAATTAGCACTTTCATCCCTGGCTGCAGCTTAGAGAGCAGCTTTCTCCTTAATCCCTGGCATCAGAGGTCTAATTAACATGAAATACATTTTTCCATGGAACTCCTGTGTCTCATGTCTCCCTGACAGCCTTGGAATCCCTCCACTTGAATTTGGACCACGTCCTGCAAGGTTTGAGCTTGCAGATCATGGATCAGGAGGGTGAACATTGTGGTGGAAGATATCCAAGGCAGATCTGAGGTTGGCCAAGTCTCCCGTGCACGTTCTCTGACAGCTCTGGGTGCCACAAGGGCTTGTGGGCTGGTGTTCAGACCTGTCCCCATGCAGTGATTTTGTCCCACAAAGCATCACCTTGGGGTGGTGTCTTGCAGTTGGTGACAGTCCTGCTGTGAGTGAGGTTGAACTAGAGACCTTCAGAGGTCACCCACTAGTATTTATACAAAGCTTGTGGCCCTGTTCCTCCCACCATAGTCACACAGACCACACAGCAGAACTGGTTCCCTAAAACCTTCCAGAGCACGTGTTTCCCTTCCTTCCAGGGAAGGGACACACGGCAGGGAGCTGGGAAGCTGGCCTTTCATGAAAAAGGACAAGATCTTTGAGGTCTATGGCCACCATCCAAACATTCCCAGGCAAAAGGAACGGAGTCCCCCTTGTCCCAATTCCCAGCTAAGCATTCTCACAAGTCCTCCTGCCCTGCTGGAGCTCTTGTATCCCTTTCCATGGCACTTGCATCCACCAGCAGCACGGCTGCCCCCCCACACCAGCAGCACAGTCAGGTTGGAGCTGCTTCCTGAGGACATGCTGGAGGCCGGTGGTTCCCTTATCAGTGCCACCACCCTGCACCAGTTTGTGTCGGTTCTAATTTGAAAGCACCTTGAACAGGTACAGATTTCCTCCTGGAGGCAAAGGTCTTCTGAGGCACATCAGAGGATGGAGGATGTCAATGCTGTGGGAAGGGTGAGAGCTGGAAATTAAAAGAAAGGAGTGTCCTAAGTTGACTCTTTTTATATCCTGCCTGGAGTAGGAAGCGGTCTTACTGTATCCACCTCTGCCTACTCCTTCAGGAAGGAGACTTGCCTGAATTACTGCTTGGATTGGCTTCCCCCACTGGGAAAACACCTCAGTGTGGTGGTACTGACCTACACACATTTTATAAAATCCATCAATTCCACGGCAGTTCTGCAGCTCTACAATTCTTGGCAGAGTCTTAGCGTTGTACAAGGGGTCCAAAGGTTGCCTGGTGGACATGGTAGGAGCTGGTTTATGGCCCCTTCCTCTGCAGCACAGCAAGAACATGCACTCCATGAGCTGTTAAGGCTGCAAAGCAATTTCCCAGTGCTAGGTTTATCCCACTGATGATATTTTATACCCCACAAGCATAAGGAACCAATTAATATATGAATGCCTTATTCCTATTATAGCCCTTGGCTGTCAAAAATGTATCATAACAAATAGAAAATGGCAGTGAGATTGTGTTGGACCTCCTCTGGCTGCACTCCATCGTCCTGATGATTTTGGGAGTTCCATGTGGAGGGTCCTGTGACAGGAGGGTGCTCATCCAACCCCACAGCTGGTTTTGTCTATGCTGCACTAGAACTGTTTCCATCCCATAAAAAAGTCTTTGTGGGTGTGTAGCTGAAATGATCCATGTCTCCAGCCCAAAGTAGCAGCACTTGGTGCACAGACACTGTAAGAACCTCTCCTTCTGAGTAGGGTCATATAGAGGACTTTGGGTCAGGCACAGTAAACCTGAGGCAGCAATGACACCAAGTGGTGGCAGTGGACTTTCACTGACATCCCTCTGAGCCAGCTCCTACTCTGAGTCAGTCCCACAACTAAAGAGAGACAAATGTCAGTGGTGAAGGTGACTTGTCTCCATTTGTCTCATTTCATGTCCTTTTCCCATCCCTGGGGTCACGCCATAGCCTCAGGTTGTGGGGGAAACCCAGGAACAGTGACAGTCTCAGCTATCCATGAGCCGTCAGGGCACCTCAGGGAGGTCATCCCAGTGACATTACCTGAGTGGCTTCATTGCATCTCTGCTTGTGGTGTGCAGAAGCAGCAGATGCTGCCGTGAGCAAGGGCTTGAGCACAGGCAGCAGCGTGGAGGGTCATCCTTGAACCCTTGAGCAGCAAGGTCATGAGGAGGTGGCTTCCCCAGGTGTGAAAATGCTTGGGGGGGTTGTTTGTTTCCAAAACCTGAATCAGTACTCAAATACTTATGTTATACAAATTGACAATAAATTAATTTATATTCCACCAGTTGAGTCTGTTTTCCCCATGACAGCGATCACCAAGTGACCTCCCCCCTCTTTATCTCAATCCACAGCAGTGGGGGGGAGAGAAGACAGACAGACAGGACAGGTTCTGCCTGGGTGGGTGGGAGAACAAGGATCTCACCTGGTTGCCTCATGGTCAGGAACCTGCTCACCTTTCTGTGAGCTTGCCTGGATGGTCCCATGACACAACATCAGGTCAGGAACTGCATTAGGCTGTCAGTGCCTCAAGCTGCCAGCTGAGGGGCATCTGGTCTCTTCCAGTGTCAAACACGATCCACAATGTCATTATTTTTCTTGCTTATAATTAATTTTAAGCCAAGGCTTTGGTCCAGCTAATGAAAGGTGAGCTGGGGGTCACCTACATCCCAGCACACAGCAGCCAGTCTGGGCGAAAAAGTACAGATTGGAGGAAAGATTCCTGTATGGATGGCTGCAGGACAGTGGGAAACACCTTGAGCAAAGCTGGTGGGTAGGAGACCATGAAGGACACAGGAAGGGAATAGCTACAGGTGGTGCTACAGGTGGGGTGTTCACCAGCAGGTTGGAGAACTTGGGAGGTTCTAAGTGACAGCAACGTGATGCTCTTCCCCAGGGCTACAGCCAAACAAAGGCTCCAGTGAGGCAGAGGAGGCTTTGAAAGACCTGAACTATCCTTGAAGGGATAGGGAGCAAGGTGGGAAGGTTTCCTACCATGGCTTTCATCTCTCTACTAGTTATTAGCATGTTCAGATGCTGGATTACCCCTTGGCTTGGTGTGACATGGCTCTGGGCTCCTGTTGCTCTTGGGAGAAGGGCTCTCCTCCCTGTGGAATCAAAGGATCAGGCTGAATTTAGTATTAGAAGTGTGGGAAGCAGGGTGTGAAAGTTTATGGTTTCACTTAGGGCATCACTCTGGGGAATCTGCTGCCAGGTTTAGCTCTTCCTGGGGACATGTCCAAGGCTGTGGAGATGCTCCAAGGGCTGGAGCACCTCTCCTATGAGGAAAGGCTGAGACAGTTGCAACTGAAGAAGAGAAGGCTCCAGGGAGACCTTAGAGCCCTTCCAGTGCCTAAAGGGGCTCCGAGAGAGCTGGAGAGGGAATTTGGACAAGGGATGGAAGGACAGGAAACTGGGGAACGGCTTCCCACTGACACAGGGCAGGGTTAGATGGGATATTGGGGAGAAATTCTTTCCTGTGAGGGTGGTGAGGCCCTGGAACAGGTTGTCCAGAGAAGCTGTGGCTGCTCCATCCCTGGAAGTGTTCCTGTCTATGGCAGAGGATGCAACAAGATGGGCTTTAAGGTCCCTTCCAACCCAAAAGCATTTATGATTCCAGGACTGGGTTCCATTTCAGTGGCTGGGGGACATTAGGTGCATCTATGAGCAGCACTTTTAGGTGGTGCAGAACCAGAACCTGCTCCTGGGACTGTGTTCCATCACCTATTTCAGGCAGCCCTGGCTGTTGAGAGCCAGGAGCTTCCCTCCAACTCCCACCAAGGTGCTCCCAAGTCCCCACTGTCCCTGCACAAGCCCTGGGGTCCCCCCTCCCACCCCAAAGAGGAGTCTGTGCAAAGAGCCAGCTTTATTCACAGGGGCACATCAGACATCAAGAACACACAAAACATACACAGAGAGGCTCCACTTTTCATACACACAATCACTATTAACAATATTACAGAAGGAATAAATAAAATGTTGCTATAGAAACCCACAAGGACGATGCTCTCCTCAGTTCACCACGCATAGCTGACCTTGCAGACCTCATCCTCCCCAGCTGCACCTCTTCAGTTTGAAAAGTACTTCTCCAGCACCTTTGTTAAAAGCCCAGTCTCCTACAAAACAAGGCAAAATGGTGAGACACCAGGTTCTGTGTCCCACTGAGATCACCTGCTGAGTGCCACAGGGCAGCAGACAGGACAAATGTCCCATGCTGGAGTGTGATGGCACTTCCAGGGCTGGCTTGGGACAGCCCACGAGAAGGCTCCTGCCTCCCACCTGTGCTCCAAGGGCTGGAACACAGCTGTCAGACATCAGAGGGAAACTTCACCAACACAGTGACAGCATGACTGGGAATGAGCACTGGCAGGGCTAGTAGGGCATCAACACCCAGCTGGCACCTAAGACACAGCCCCAGCGCTCGGGGCAGCCTTTGCCCAGGCACATCTGCAATGTGAGCAGTGACTGTGTGATTTACCCACACGGGGAGAGCCACAGGGTTCACTTTTACAAAACTCACACCACATGCTCACCTCAACGAGGCAGGGCAGCACTTCCACCAGCTCTCCCATCCTCTCAGCAAGTGCCCTCCTGCTCAAAGGCTCCCCAGGGAGGATGGAAAAGGGTTCAGGACCTCCCCAGCCCTCTCCTTCCTTTCAGCTGCATCCGAGAAGCAAGCCCTGCAGCAGCACAGCGTCTTACAGGGAGTGGGGTGGGCTGGTGCCTTCAGCCATGCCCAGCTGTACCTTCACCTCTATCCCAATGGGACCAGCTCCCTAGGGAAGCCCCAGTTTGCCTTAATCTGCTGAAAGTAAGTCAAGAAGGTGCTTGAACAATCAGTGGCGCTCAGGCTCACAGCCCTGCAACTCTGCTCCATTTGTGCCTTCCCAAAAAAAGCAAAGAGGAGCAAGCCCTGCCTATCCCTGGATAGCAGGAGTAGCTTTACCTGCGTGCAGTGTTAGTGGATAGCTCCTCAAGCTCCTGGCTCAGTGGGACAGCACAAGTGGGACACATCTAAGAAGATTTCATCCCTTTTAGGCTCTTGGTTGCTTCCTGCACTGGTTGGAAAGGGTGAGACACGAGGGAATCATGCAGGAGGCAACAGACCAGCAGAGCCACATGGACTGAGTAACTCCATCTGTGGACTGAGCAGTTCCACCTCCACATCCTGCTTGAGGATCTGTGTCTGTGCATTGCTCCCAGGGGTAAGTTTTCTACTAGGAGCTGGGTGAGCTCCAAGGTAAAAGACACACTATGGAGCCTGAGGATCTGCTGATACACAGCGGGATTACTGGAGCTCCTGCCCACTCTCTGCTCCCCAAAATCTGCTCTGCAGCAGCACACACCTCCCCTCTGCAAGGCTTTGTGCCCCTCAGTAACGAGGGACCCCAACCACAGCGACAGAGCCAAGATGGGGGCAGAGGAAGCCCAAAGCTCTTTGCTTGACACATGCCTTTCCCTTCCCATACCATGTCCCTCTTGATCTCTCTCTGCAGAAATAAGAAGGGGAAAAGGATTTCCCTGTCCCTTCTTCACGGCAGCAATAGCGGCCACCATTCTCTTTTGCATCTGGGTGAGGAAGACCCAGGTGCCTGTTAACAGCCCCTGCGCTGGAGATCACCACTGCCACAGCTCCATCGCAGCATTCCTTGTTCATCCTCACACCCTTCCCAAGCACCCGGGACTTTTGTCACTGCCCAGCTAGACATGGCCCTCGGGACACCTCTCTGCCCTCTTCTGGCTGGTCTTAAGGAGTGGTTTAAGGGGAATTAAGAGAAGCGGAAAGAGGAGAGATGCATCTCTAGCAGCTGTGCAGAGGCTCCCACCTCCAGCATGGCTCCACCACCTCCCAGCTCTGAGCGTCTCCCTCCACCTTAGTCAATATTCACCTGGTCAGTGAGGTCATATTTCCCTTGGTTCTCATCCAACAGTCTTTCCTGCAAGAGGATTTTCAGGAGCTCCCGGGTCAGCAGTTCCATCATGTCCTCCAGCAAGGCTCGGAGGGAGGGACCGAAGACCATCGGCATTGCAGGCTCCTCCGGCGACTCCAGGTGCGGGGACCCCGTGACGCTCTTCTTCCCCATGAAGTGACCTGCAACACCACGCCCCGTGTGTCCGCGGGGACCCAGGGCTCCGGCTCAGCCGGCATCGAGTGACCTAGTGCCCAAATCAACTGAGTAAAGGGAAATCCAGAAATCCCAGGTCCTCATTCCACGGGACTTCTGGGGATTTTGGGGAAACTTTCTGCCGACAGGATTTCCGGGGTTACAGACACGTCCGGGGATGCCGGACCGGGGAGTTGCCTGGGGCGTTGGATCTGCTAACCCGGGGATGCTAGACCTGCCACACAGGGATGCCGGACTTGTCTCGCGGGAATGCGGGTGCAGGTGGCCTCACCCCTGCCGTGGCCTCCCCCTGCCCACCACAGTCCTGCCAGGATCCCCCTCCGCCCGTGGGGCACGGGGGGGAGCAGGGGGCTCCGCACAGGCAGGGACAGGGCGCTCGGGGAGGCAGGAGGTCGCTGTGCCCCGCACATCCCGCTTGTCCCTGCGACCCACCCCGTCCGATACCTGTGGCCCAGAGGTTGCCGCGGGGGTTGACCTTGATCTTGGCGGCCTGGCTGCGGTGCTCGGCGAAGTCGAGATGCACGGCGGGTCCCAGCGCGGCTCCGCAGAGCAGCAGCAGGAGGCAGCGCAGCGCCATCGCCGCCCGCGGGACCCACGCCCGCTCCGCCGCCTCCCGCTTATAGACCGGAGAGGAAGGGCTCGGCACGCCCTGACCGCTCCCCCGCCCCCAGCCCCGCCCCCAGCGCTGACAGACCCGGGAACCACAGCCCACGGGGTCCTGAACCCTCTGCGTGTCCCCATCCTGTGTCATTCCACAGCCCTGACGGGGCGGGACACGGTGACAGACCCACCGCTGAGGGGACAGACTCACCGCCGAGGTGGACAGTGATACACCCATCACTGCACCACCCATCAGTACACCTACCCACATGCCCAGATCTCTCCATCATGTCCCGTCCATGCTTCCACCTCCTCATGCTGCCTTTTTGCACTGGAGCTCAGCCATGAGCTTCATTCCCAGTTTAGCCAAACCCATCTCCCACTACATCTGCTTGTGCACCTGATTATTGGGATGGACTTGGAGGATCCTGTCCTTCAGGACCTTGCTTGGGTGATAGGTCTGGTTCTGCCCCTCAGGCATCTCTGAGCACCTCTTAAGGACCTCCCAGCTCTGCCAAGCTCCTTTACTTTCCCGAGAAGCCTCCTACAGGTTCCCACTGACAGCTCTCTGTAGAGGGTGAGGACCAGAGCCTGTGTATCACTTCTCAACTTTTCCACTCCCTCTGGGATTTTGCAGACCACTATTTCTTGATCACCACACCCAAACCTTCCATGGATTATCACATCCTCCATCAGCTCTTCCTTTTCCGTTAATGGGATGGAGCTGTGCCCAGCATGTACTGCCATTCAGGAAAACAGGGCTGGAGGTGACACGTCCCCCTTCAGCAGCAGTGGGTCAGAGCCCGAACTGCAAACACAGCTCTAAACTTACAGGGAGAAAAAAATCATAAAGTGCTCCTGTGTTAGTGAGTGAGTTAGTTAGTGTTAGTTAGTGAGTGCTCACAGTGAGTGTATGTCCCCTTGGGTGGCCAGCCTGTGCTCTCTCCTGCCCAGGATCTGTACCACAGTGATGGGCAGGGCCTTTTTCTTCTCCATCACCCATCAGGGAGGTGGCTGCCTCTGCCAGCCTTGTGTCCAGCTGTGCTGGATGTCTTGGGCTGCCATGGGGGATCTCACTCCGCTTCCTCACCATGTGTTCAGCAGCAGTATGGCTGAGCAGGCGGTACTGGGGTTGCTCTTTGAGGAGGTGGCCCCTTTGGGGGCCATGGGGTGCATGAATATGATGGTCACCACAGATGTGGCACTTGCGGCACCACAGCTCTGACCCTGACGTTCACATCGTGGCAGTGTCACCTCCTCCATCAAGTCAATGGAGAGAGGAGCCCAGTCCTGGTGGCTGGAACGACCACTTGGGCTCTGGTGTCCCCAGCCAGCCCCCACATGCCGGTGCTCCAGCTGGACAGACAGACAGAGACACCCCCAGCCCTTCTTCATTTCCTCTCACAGCCTGTGTCCCTCCCCCCATGTCCTGCACTGTCACTGCCCTGACAAAACACAGCTTGAAACGGACCGACATTATCCGAAGCCTTTTCTTCAAAACAGTTTTAAATTCACTCATGGTGAATTAAATTCACTCCAAATTTGGAGTGTCTGGAGAAGGCCTGGGATGTAGGAAGGCAGGAGGAGAAGGATGTGAGGTCCAGAGAAGGTGCTGCATTTGAAGGAAGAGCTTGGTGCTGCCCAGCTGAGTCTGGTTTCCCCTCACGCTGGGCAAGGGGTGTTTTTTGAGAAGCTGAGCAGCATTCCTCCACTGCAGGGAAGAGCAAGATGAAGGGTTACCTGTAGGATTATGAAGGATGAAGCCAGGGATAAAGTGATCCCAATTACAGAGGGCAGAGGAAAGAGCCCCAGGCAATTACGGCACCAACTGAAGCATGACGGGGTTAAGTCCTGTTCCTTCAGGGAAGCACAGGCAGCCTCCTGGGAACATGGGATGAGCAGGGGGAAGCAGCACAGTGTTTCTAACATAGTGAAGGCTTTTGCATTGTTCTAACTAAATACATAACAAGTGGACACACATCTTCCTCCTTTTTCAGCTGGTGGCTGCAGGTGTTACCTCAGCCGAAGCGGGAGCAGAGGAACAAGTATTTTGATTCCAGTGGCACTGCAGGCACGGGAAAGGCTGGGAAAAGGAAATCAGGGAGTTCCTGCCCTGTTGCAGTGTCATTATAAACCCTCAGAAACTGAGGGGACACTGGATTAATTGCTGAGTACTGAGGCTTGACCAGATGGAGTGTGTGTGTAAGATGGGAGCCCATAACTCTGATTTCAAGCCTGGGAAGAGCAATGGAATTGCTGCTCAGGGACTTGGTGGAGGCAGGAAGAGGGAGCACGACTCAGGGAAGCCAGTGGGGTTTTTATGGAAAACAACTGGTGAAAGGGCCCTGAGCTCAGCGCTCGCTAAGCAGCAGCAGCAGCAGTGCTGGGATCCAGGCAGGGCTCCGAGAACAGCAATTCCATCTTCCCCAGCACTTTGGTAAATACCAGCCCCAGACCATAACAGAGAGACCAGGTTTACTCTGGATTTTTCCAGTCTTCACAAAAAAGTGATGTTGCACTTAATTTTGGAAAAATAACTGGTACCCTTGGGAAAGGCATCAGGGCTCAGCCCCTGGTCACCAGCCTGGCAGGGTTTGGGGTAGATTTGCTGCCTCTGCCTTCAGCCTGCTTTGGTGCCCAGAGTGAATTCCTCACCTGGAGCCTGCTGGAACCTCCAGCATTCCAGGCAGGAATTGTCACTGCAGTGCTCCTCCACTACTTCCTCTCTCCAGCCCAACAGCTACCAGCCTCCAAGGGAATCTTCCCAGCTTATATGTAAAAAAACACAATAGAAATTCTGTTTTATAAATCTGTTTTTCTGACAGAAGTCAGCATGGCTTCCACAGGTGGTGCAGGAGATGGGGCTGTTGGCCACCAGCTTCCTGCAAGGAGCCAGGGAGGACAGAGATGACTCTTTGAAAAATGCCAGGCTGCTGATGGTTATTCCTCGAGGCAGAGGAGGGGGCTGAACAGAGCTAACCCTCCCCTCTCCCATGGGACTTACCCTCTGGGGCTGCATGAGAGCAGCTCTGCACAGACCCACACCCTCCAGGAACGGGCCCTTCTCACCCAAAACACCTCAGCTTCCCCCGGTGCCTCCAGCTGGAGGCAGCAGGGGTTGTTTTGCTTTGTTTTCCCCCAGTAATTCTCACACACCATTTACTCTCCTGATCACTGCTGACCACAGATCTGACATTTTCACAGCAAAATTTGTTACAACCCTGACGTTCCAGATGGTAACACTTAACTCGGAACCCGTTGTTTTATAAATGGAGTTAAAATTGTTTTTTCCCCCTGTGCACCATTTTATATTTATGTACATTTGAATTCCATCTTTTTTATTACCCAGGTTCTTCCCTCTTGCCTCCAGCCTTTTGTTCTTTACCTTTTAGCAAATGATTTTCCCCCATAAGCATCTTAGCACCTCTTCCAAGGCCGCTTTCTTTCTTCAGGAGCCTTTGCTGAGGGACCTTGCCAAATACCTTTGGGAAATCCCAGTGGGCTCCCCTTGCCCATACACCTCCAAACTCCTTCAACAAGCTCCAAGTCTACTTTTGGAGTGCCTTATTCCTTATCACCTGGGGTGTCCTATTCCTTATCAAACTCTTATCTGCTGTATGAGCAGTAACAGACCTGTGAAACGGGCACGATTAGCAAATTCTCCAAATGTACTGAAAAATTAAGTAGGATTTCACCAGGCAAAGGAGACTGCAACTATGCAATATAAATGGATTTAAAAACTGCACAGCCAAGAGGTCCTTGTCAACAACAAATGTAACAGACCAACCTGGAAATACCCTGGTTCAAGGAGTTTAAAGCAAGGTCCATTTTGTTCCTTCTCTTTTGAATTATGCTTTGCATCCAGGTCTGGAGTCCTCAGCACAGGGCAGACAGGAACCTGTTGGAGCAAGTCCAGATACAGCCACAGAGATGCTCTGAGGGCTGAAGCCTCTCTGCTCTGGAGACAGACTGGGAGAGATGGGGGTGTTCAGCTGGAGAAGACAAGGCTCCAGGGAGACCTTAGAGCCCCTTCCAGTACCTAAAGGGGCTCCAAGAGTGCTGGAGAGAGAATTTGGACAACGGATGGAGGGACAAGACAAGGGGGAGTGGCTTCCCATTGCCACAGGGCAAGGTTAGATGGGATATTGGGAGGGAATTGTTGGGTGTGAGGGTGGTGAGGCCCTGGCACAGGTTGTCCAGAGAAGCTGTGGCTTCTCTGTCCCTGGAAGTGTTGAAGGCCAGGTTGGATGAGGCTTGGAGCAACCTGGGATAGTGGAAGGTTTCCCTGCCCATGGCAGAGGGTGGAATGAGACAGGCTTTAAGGTCCCTTCTAACCCAAACCATTGTGCAATTCTGTGCTTTGGTACCTTGGCATTGACTCTGCATCCCCCAGAGAGGTGAGCAGGCGGCCTGGAACAGACTCTGAGCTGTGGAGCTCCAGAACTCAGTGCAGGCTTCCCATGCCCTGCAAATACCCACCTGGGCAGGCAAATGTGTGCTCAAAACCGATGGCTCTAATAAAAAACAAATACAAAGGGCAAAGGCCTCAAATCCCCCTATTTATCTCCTTCACAGAGCTCCTGGTGCCAATAAAACTCTTAGCAGCAGTTAAGTTGTTTCAGCCTCTTCACCACTTTTCCAAAGCCAGGTCCTGCCACATGCCTGAGGGTCTATTTTGATGCATTTTCCTCTTGTTTACAGAGATTAAATCCCTCTGTTACATCCATTCGTCCACAGGCAATAGCTGTTGTTTATAAAAGATAAAATTTGAAATCTCACACATCTTGTTTTCAACTCATTTTCAATTTTCATTTAAGCTGTAAATGAGTTGTGGTTTTCCCTGAGGTTTCCCACTCACTCCACGCCTTCAGGACATATTACAAATAACTGCTCTGCAAGAAGACTCAGAGAAGAAAATCGTGTTTTCTTGCAGGCAAATCCAGGTCCAGCTCAGAAGTGATCCAGTCAGAACTGCACGGCAGAAATCTGACATCCCAGTTTGAGTGAACTAAGGTTCAGAGAAGTTAATTTTCTCCATATTATCTTTACTTCAGTCTCTCAGCTCGGTTTCTACA